GATAAATTATTGTGCTTGTTAAACTTATTATTAAATTTTTAAACTTATTTATTTATATTATTACGATTAAAGTTAGATTTATAAATTTTTGAATAATTTTCTTAATAATTAATGGTCCCTGATTAATCCCCGCCTAGTTGATTAATCCTTAAACACCAGTCCACCGACTAGCTAACGTCTAACGTTTTCTGCAACCTTGACTTAAACATATGCTTTAATATAAATTAAAAACCCCTCATATATTTAAAAACACCAATTTAAGATTTTGTAAATCATTTCACCATGCAAAACTCCCAATTTTGCAATAATAATAATAATAATAATAATAATAATAATAATAATAATAATAATAATAATAATGATAATAAAATATTACATAGTAAATGAGAGAAGAGTGCTATGAATACACATAAATATACGATAATAATAATGTTAATAGTGTTATCAATGTGTTTGGCTTCTTAAGAAATGAAGATGAACAATGTATACATGTTAGATCAAGTGGGAGAGTAGTTGTCTTTCTTGTCTTATATCTCGACGTCATTCTTCTTATAGAAAATGATATCCCGACACTGAACAATGTACAAGCTTGGCTTGGGAAGAGTTTCGCTATGATAGACTTAGGAGAAGCTACTTACATACTTTGTATTAAGATCTATAGGGATATATAGATCTAGGCGACTGATAGGAATTTGCCAAAATACATACCTAGATAAAATCTTGGAGAAATTCAAGAAGAAAGACTCTAAGAAAGGATCTATACATATGTAATGTAGTACGGTTTTGAGTAAAACCCAATGTCCCGGTACTAGTGAAGAACTGGACATGATGAGTCGAGTTCCATATGTTTCAGCTATAGGATTGATCATGTATGCTATGATATGTACAAGGCCATACGTCTCATACTCAATTAGTATGATGATCGGCGATCAAGCCAATCTTGGTGAAAGTCATTGGATCCCGGTCAAGAATATTTTGAAGTATTTTAGGAGGACTAAAGATATGTTCTTGGTCTATGGTGGTAAGGAAAAGCTAAGTGTCAAAGGATATGTGGATGCACTTTTCCAAACTGACACTGATAACAACCTAGTGACTTAGAGGTGTTAGAGACTATAACATACTCAACTAGTAACTTAGAGGTGTTCTAAGTAAGATACAGAGCATATGTATATGCGACCAATGTTAGAGACTCCATTTTAGACCTAATTTCATAAATTATTATGATCAAAGGAATACATGAAGGGGTTTTCCCAAAATTTCAGTATCTTCTTCTTCGATTCCGCATTCCTTTTTCCATTTCACAAAGGTTTTGTCTCAATTTGACAAACACGTTTACTTCTCTAGTTCCAACTGAGGTGTGACGTTCGCCCAATAACTTTCTTTTAGACGACCTTCTACTTTTAGGTTGTCACTTAATCCGAATGATTCTTCTTTAAGAATAGGTATTCAAGTTTTCCAACGTGTTCGAACCAGCAGTGGTCTGTCTCAAAGAAAAAGGATGAGCTTGGCAAATCTACATCAATATTTTATAAAGATCCTTTAAGTGAAAGACAATTCAAGGTTTGATAATACTATCGTCTATTTGAAAAATTCATTTCTCTTAATTTTTTGTGGGTTTATTTGGTATAAAGAATATACACAGAGCTTGAGTCACGCATACAAACTATTTGTAGAAATGCCACATACACACATATAAAAGTTTAAGCTTTTCTTTTTTTGCATCACACCTTATTTATTCTATGTTATACGATCAAAATAGGCAATCAGTGAAAATTGTCATCAAATAACCCCAATAATCCATGTGGAAATTTCTATACTTATCAACATTTAAAGAAGGTATACACTATACAATATACATGATTTATAATTTAGTATTTTATGCAATTGGTTAATGATTTGAGATACTAATTTGGAATTTTTGTTTATAAGTTTACTTTGTGAAGAAAACGAAAGAAACAACTTTGTTTTTGTTTTTGATTTTTTTTTTTGTGCTTCCAAAGTACATTTTTACTTTTACATCTCTCAATAAAATAGTTCAATGTGGCCAAATTCTCACACGTCAGTTAATTTCGATTCTTTGGCAGCTATAGTGGGACCATACATGGGTGTCCGGAATCGGTGATAATGATTAGGAAGACCAATTTAATATATTTTATTAAAAACCTAAAATATAAAAATTTATGGATAAAATTACAAAAATGATCCATGTGGTTGTTAAAAATATGTGTTTTTGGTCAAAAAAACGTTTGGTGGTATATCAATGGTTCAGTTTTAGATCTTTTAGTGATTTTGGTCCCTCTACACTTAAAAAGACAAATATGCCTTTATAATTTGTATTTTATATTTTCCTTAATTGCTAAAATACATAAACCAACTTAATTTTTTTACTTAAAACAAAAAACAAATAAATAAATAATCCAACCCACTCTCATCTTCATGGGATGAGAAAACCCCTTTGATCACCTCTCCACCCTCCACCATCACCAGTGATGGGAACCATCGCCGGAGTTCACCATCGATTTTCTATCTCTGATTTTGATGGCCAAAGACTATTTTTTGGGTGAGTTCATTTCTCACCAAAAATCAACTGTACCACACGATGAGACACCACCACAAACCACCTTCGTTGGCGTTGTTAACTACCATAACCATCTTCACCGACATCGTCACCTACCCTAACCACACACTCCTCATCTCTGGCTAGGGTGCATCAAACTCCCACCTCATCTCAACATCATATTCTTCAAGAAAAATCTAGAAAAAGTTGCACCTTTCCTCTTCGATTTACGATGTTTTACCGAAAAAACGTGCTTGATAGGTTGCATCTAGCTCGCCACTACCACCACCACTTCTACCATATATACGTTTTGCCAACACCATCGATCTATAGGTACGATAGATGCCAACGAAGGTACAGATGGTTGGAGTTTTGAATGAAGGATGAAGGGTGAGAGTGTAAGACTAGGAGATGACAGAAGGGGGGATGAACACCGGTGACGGTAGAGGGGGCAACTGGTGGTTTTAGGTGACAGAATATGCAGATGGGTGGCTTTAGAACACATATCAGGATTGTTGAAGGAGGTGGTGGTGGACTGTGGTGGCATTCAAGGTGGTTGTGGTGGCGACGTTGATATCTAAAAAATGACGATTTCGATGAGGATGTAACAGTTTTGACGATGCTCCTCTTGGTTGATTGGTGGTGGTGATGATGAGATTCTCTTTTTGTGAGAATTAGAAAGTGAAATGAGAGAGAGAGAGAGAGAGAGAGAGAGAGAGTGTGTGAGTGAGAGAGAGAGAGAGAGGTTGGGAAGGTGGGTGAGTGATTTTTTTTAAATGAAAAAAAAATAAGTATAAATATTAAAAAAAAAAAAAAAGAATTATTGAAAGACATTTCTATCATTTCAGGTTAGGTCTGGACCAAAACTGCACCAAGATTTCAACCATATGGACCAAAACCACATAAAATATCCAAAATTGGACCAATGATACACCACTAAACGTTTTGAACCACAACTACATAATTTTGACATCTACAAGAACTATTTCTGCAATCATTCTATTAAACAGTAACCTACTATATAATTATTAACTAATTATTTTTATTGATAAATTGTTTTGATTACATTGTTTTCCAAAAAAATTTAAGTTTTTCTCTCTCCTTTTTTTTTTTTTTTTTTTTTAATTTTAGAATATAAAAATACGTTTTCTTATTGCAATACAAAAATAAAAGAATAAAAAAAACTCTTTTTTTTATATTTCTGTTAGCAAGAGACGTTTTTTTCTTTACTAACAAAATAGTAATGATAATAATATTAGTTACAACTATAAATATATTTAAAAGAAACATTAATAATAATTATTATATTTATTTATTTAATCTTAAAAGACATGTTATATCCTTAAAAGGTTTTACGGAAAAGATTATAGTTTCGAATAATTTATGTTTTAATAAAAGTAAATTTAAAATCTATATTTAATCGCTAACTTTGTATATTTAAACTAAAGAATTCAATTATCCAAATTAAAATTAGTTTATTTGTGGTTTATGTTACACGAGAAAAAATAATTAATAACTAAAGTTGCATATAACTAACAAAAAAATATAAATTTTATTATTTCGTTTATGACTAATATTTTTGTAGAAAACAAATAGAAAGATGTTGTACTAATTTAATAAAAAATGAAAATAATTTATCTAGAATTTTATTTTTTATAATATTTTTTATATTATTATATTATAAAAAACAATATTATTGTTGTTTTTTTATCTTAATAAAAAATAAATTTAAAATTATTAATATTGATAAAGTTAGTAATGATAAGGTAATAATTTATCATCATTCATCTAAAAATAACTAAGCCTAACTATATATATATATATATATATATATATATATATATATATATATATATATATATATATATATATATATATATATATATATATATATATATATATATTGGTGTTGTATATTAGTGTGTTCATAATATGATATTGATTTCTGTTTGAACTCCAATGTACAATGTATGTGCACACCATACAAATCCCAATATACTTTAGATAACAATTCATGCAATGTACTTCAGATAACAACAATATATGAAAGTTAATATTAACATTTGGAGCTACAATCGTAATAAAGAGATATTAGTCCTTAGGTTCTTCAGCCTTCAATCCGATGTGTTTCCCATTTGGTTTGGTGCCTTGGACAAGTGCCTTACAATTGTCTTGTTTAATTTATCTTGGACCTTATAACTATTTTATTCTTGTTTCATTCTGGACTACTTCCAGCTATGCACTGGATTCTAATTTATATCTATATATATTGCGGTTAAAAAAAATAACAAATATATGAAACACATGAACAAACACACAAAACGAACACCTTCCACACCAACTCAAACGCGCGGAAAACCCTTCTGGTTATTATTATTTTTATTCTATTTCATGTGTCATTAAATATTTTGGTGATACCGATAAAATTAATATCAAACAACAATTATAGAATGCGAGAATACTTTTATTCATCAACCAACTCAATTTAAGTTGTTCATCTTGATCGAATTGATACAATGTTTATTGATACAAGCCATAATTATTAGTGTAACTGAAAAGATTGGAAATGCATGATCTATACCCGTCTATGTGAGCTCTTGATCATTTGAACTCATATCTTACCACTCCAGGAATGTGTGTATGCAAGAAGTAGTCTTCCCAATCAATTATTTTTGGGTCGAAGTTGAAGAATACATCATCTTGTTTACTCTCCCTAACCATGTTACGCAACTTTTCGGTATTTATATCATCGTACCTATAAAAAATTAATGAGTTCAATTCGTAACACCTAAAAAGGTGTACCTATAACAAAATTAACGAGTTCAATTGGTAACCCCTAAAAAGGTGGAAAGATTAATAGATTTTTCATTAAGAAGTGAACTAATAATGCTTACAAACTTTTGGAGAACAAATATGGTTGGTAAAGCTTCACTAGCCAAAGTACAAAGTTGATCTTTCGTTCAATATTGTTGCATGTACTAGCAAACGCTTGGCAAAGTATTACATTCACAACTTTAAGTACCTACGAATGAAATTTACTTTATTAACATACAAAAACTAACAAAATTTGAAGTGAGAAAAAAGTTAGAGAAAGAGAAGTTAATTGAGAGAAACCTGTAGGGGAAGCATGAAACGAAGAGTGATATATCTTTGGAAGCTAGCCATTGATTTCAATGTTCTAAGCTTGCCAACTATGACTGGTTTCCCATTCTTGTTTGTCCATGGATGTTGAGTAAAATACATGTATATATATTTTTGTATCATGGTGTTTGTCAAAGGGTTTGACACCGAAGATCCAACATGATAAATTGTTACAGAAAAAGTTTGATCTACATTAGCCACGATTGCAGCGATCATAGCATTCACCACCATGTCAGCCGGTAACTACCAACGTTTACATTATTATTATAATTTAAGCAAAATGTTTTCAAGATGAAAGTTAAATTGAGATAAAATTCTCCAGAAAACTCACCACATCAAACACGCATTCAGGATCTGAAGCGACAAACCTTAACCTGCCTTTTCCATAGCCAACAATAAAGCTATCGATGGTCCTGTGATTTTTATAAACAGAAATTATGTTTTTCTGGGTTCAATCTTTCTATCATAAACCATCTGCTTGTTAGACAAAAACAAAGAATCAATTAGCTAATGCCTTCGACCCACCCGGGGAAGGGCTCTTTGTAGGTACTACTGATGATTGTTGGACGGAAAATAACCAACGGAATATCTCGTTTAAATTGTTGAAGAACCATTTCCCCTAATGCCTTGGTAAAAACATATGTATTTGGCCATCCATAATGATTCGCCCTAGATCGAAAATTAATATGTATATTATATATAGCAAAGTAATTAATGTTTCCACTTATGTTTTTAATTAATAATAAGGTGGTTTAAATTTTATACTTGATTTTCTCTTTGAGGTATAAAACTCAAATCAGCTTTTTTCAAGTGGATGAATCATTATCTTCACTTAGACTTAAATTATTGTGTTACAATTTTAATAAGATAAACCTTTTCCATTGTCTAAGCAAAACAGTTGAAGGCCAAAGCAAAAGTAGTTGATCGATTACCTTTGTCTACCCAAATCTTTCATGGCCATTTTAACTACTTCTTGGTTAGCATTGTGATATTCAAGCTCTTTTAGTCTATCTTCGATGATCCTTTTCTCATGTTCGATGTCAATCGTCTCTCCCAGGTAGCACGTACTTTCAAGTATTATCCCTGGCTTCTCACCAGAGACATAGGCTGAATATGCATCATTAGGATATTTGGAATATAAAATAGTTAGATTTCTTTTCATCAGACAAAACGTGCTAACTGAAGAAAAAATATATATTAAATTGTGTAAAATAGAGACTTAATTAAGTTGTCAATTCCAATATATGGAAATTTTAATTTAATTATTTTTACGGATTATGAAAATTTTAAAACTTTTGTATTATTAAAACTATTTGCTTCTAGTATAATTTGCAAATCAAGATTCAAAGATTAGTTGATATGGTGTAGAATAAAGTAAACATGAGAAAAACTGATTTGACAAATCTTTAATTACCACTTTTGCTTCAAATGGAAAACGTATGATTACATATTAGTTTATAACCTGTGGGAGTTATGGTTATAAAAGTAATTAAAATTTTATAGTAAAATTCAAAACTATTAATCAATTATTTTAAATAAATTATTAATTAACAGATATTTTATTAGTTATATGAAATTATAATCGTTGATTCAAATAAATATATAAAATTAATTTTTAATATATATTAGATGTTTTTTATTTGTGAATTAATGAAAACAATAATATAAATTTAAAATTTAAAATTTAAAATAGAGAATAAATACATTGACAAATAGCATCACATTAATGATAATGTCTAATAAATTTAAAATTGAGAACTAATAAATTGATAAGTGGCAACACATTAATTAAGAGGTCTAATATGATTATATATGACAAAAAAACTACTCTTTTATTAGTATAGATTTGATATTTCGAAAGGTTTTCATTGTTTTCTTCTCTGTATTAATACTTATTAATAATTTAATATACTATTTTTTATTCATTAATAACTATGAACCTTTTTAAATTTATAAAGGAAAAAAGAAAGAAAAGAAACTCATAAACATACTTTGAATTTTGCGTGTAAGGTGTACCTCGTCTAATTCGTTGCAAGGCATGGATATTTTTGATATATTTGTGATTCCAATATAAAACTGATTTCTTTAAATTTGAAAATTATAAAACATTGCTTTAATTTTTAATATTTATTTGATAGACTTCTGAATTATTTGACCAATTTGACCGGTTAAACTGAACGAGTTTTGATAAATAAATGGTTAACGTTAAATCTGTTTATTATTGTTTTTAATATGTTAATTTTCTAATTAAACTAAAATAAAAAATTATGCTAGACACAAAATTAAAATTTAAACATACATTCATAATTTTGCTTCATAGAAAATATTTTATGAGATAGACTAAACTTATAAATTTTGTTACATTTATTAATTCAATGAAGAGGAAATCGAGATTAAAACCAAACATAATGTTGTTTGAAGATACATACCAAAAGAGTTATGTTTTTGGAAATGATGGGGACAATACCAACTTATCGTTTTCAAAAATAATTTGGAAGTTATGTATGACGCCAACCTGTGGACACATGAAGCAACAACTTTATGTTGATACATTTCTTAGCAAAGTCCAAAACAAATTTAGCGCCAAATGTGTTAAGAGCTAGGGCAACATCGTATCTACAACAATCCAAATAAGTATAATTAGTTAAAGTGAAATATAGATGTAGTCAAATATATATATGAAAGTTTGTACCTTTCGAAAAAGTTAGTGGATGCAGCTGTATTAACAACAACTTCAACATCTCTCCACATATCCTCTTTCAGGCATGAGTCTTTTATTCCTAAGTTCTCACATGTTATGTCCCCCGGAACTAGAATTACCTTTTCAGAGAGAAAGCTTTGTAGGTTTGTATGGTACTTCTCTTTCATGACTTTAAACAAATCCTTTTCTACTGCCTATGATGTATAAGTTTCTTATTGGCTCTTGATAGGAATTACAAAGGAACATAAATGTTATCTTATAAATAGATGTGTAATGAGATGAACGATACCTCGGTTTGGAAGCGTCGTAAGGCAGACATGCTATCTGTTGCTCTCACAAGAAGATATAGCTTCTTCACGTTTGGTTGAATTCTAAGTATCTTCTCCACAAAAACTACAATGATACATATAACATGTCCATATTTAATATACATATACAATGGCAAGTTACTAATAGAGAGCATAGAAGAGCACTTCATGAAACAATTAAATGGAATGGGTGTTTGATGACGTAGACAATAACTTCTTGCAAGTTATAAATGTAATGATTGATATGAAACTAGTATTTGTCACCACCTTGCGATGATGCCAATATGTTCTATAAATTGAATTTTAATGATTATATTGATAAAAGTTAGATATCTTTACATTTGTTGGTAGATAAATATACAATGTTGATATAACAGAGAAAACTATTGGTGGATAGGGTAAACACAAAAATTTATTAAGTCGAAGGGAAGAAAGTAACATTTTATGAAGTTCAAATTTAAGGGGATCAAAGTGACATTTGACAAATTTGTGGAGAAATAACCGTAGGAAATCATATCATATAAACTACGCAAGTTAAACATGAAACTTTGGAAAATTGATGGGTGGAATTGATATTTTAGAAAGTTCTAAGTCGAGAGACTAAAAGTGATATTTTACAAATTAGAAGGCTGGAAAGTACCATTTCACAAAATTGAATGGTGTAAAGTATCAGTGTAAACATCCACCGAAGGTTGGTACCATTAACTAATTTCAATTTATACCGTCAAATGCATATAAAAATAAAAACGAAAATGTACATAAAATTTACGTCAAAACGTAAATAAACTCGATTTTATTCCAAGACGCACATAAAAATAAGCAAGTGAGATTATTCTTGTGAAGTAAACGAACGGAAATTCAAATATTTAAAACGTATTATATGTCACCCGAATCATACATAGGAAGTGACAAAGCAGACCTAAGCACAAACATAAAATAATAATAATAAATCACAACGTGCACACACTTGAAATTATAATGACAAGTATATAAAATAAGGAAGTAACAAAACTTCTAAATTTACGTCTAAATGTTGAACACATTAAATTTATATCGACACATACATAAAAATAAGCATGTAAAAAAGTTTTTTATAAGCTAACAAACAAAAGTTATTAAGAAAATCACATTTTATATACTATACATTGGGGATAAACACGAACGTTTTGAAAACAGAATGGTGAAAATAGCATATTACAAAGTTAAAAGTGGAGGAGATCAAAATGATATTTGTTAATTTATCTAAAAGTGAAGGGACTAAAGCTGCCAAGTCAAAAAATAGGACAAAAAAGAAAAAAAAATCACAAGGACTAAAATTGCCAACTAAAATAGTAGCAAAAAAAAATTACAGGAACTGAAACTGCATGCTTTTGGATACTATGTTAATATTACGAACATAGGCATGAAGTTATTTTTTGACCTTGTGTATTACATATAAATCAATGTTAAAGAGACAACCAGAGACTTTACTTTTTGCCAGAAAACCAGTAGCACCTGTGACCAAAATGGTTTTCTTGTCAAGAACATCAAGAATACTATCCAACTCCATTTTATAACTATAGATTCAAGTAGATTTCTTGCACTATTTGTATATGGAAATGCATAGAATTACGCACATATATATAGAGTCAAGTAAGACGTGGAAAGGAAATGTAAAATGGGAATGGTGATTAGAGTTCACCGAACTCTGATCTGTATTTAATATTTTTTGTTCGTTAATAACTATGAACCTATTTAACCTATAAAGCAAAAGAAACTAATAAACATACTACATTTATATATGTTTTATTTATCAATTGACATTTTTAAAATTAATAAAAATATAATATATTAAGTAATAATATCAACACTATATCTTACCGAATAAGAACAACTGACTTTTATTGGAAAATTATTGGGAAAATATCATAGAAACCTAACAACGTTAGCGTTGGGTTTTAAAATTTTATTTATGTTTTTTTGCTCTTTATGGACTCCAAAGTCAAAAAAATATTTATTACCCTTGCCATTATTATTGACATTTCAAACAAATGATTTGGTTTAATAGATGATGTGGATTTTGACCCCCGTAAGTCTAAATAAAAAAATGTGCACATCATATATTCCATTTGTGAAAGATAAAGAATATGTTTAAATCTTTTGCATACCTGGCTGCTCCTATACTTGTAAGTATAGTCACAAGTCACAATAAAGAAGGCGACCAAGGGTTTCTAACCATCGTAGCAAGTGTTGAGAGCTTCCACATGCGTTCTAAGGTATTCTACTCTATGGTTCTTGTAGAACTTTTGCATGATTGTGAAAGATCAAGAAGATATTTATCTGAGACTTCACCGAACAGCTACATTTGTCCATGAATTCCTTTCTGATTCACCTTGTGGCCTATCAAAGAAAGCAAAACAGACCGATTGATTAGTTCCCGTGATCGTAGATCCACTTTAGCTAATGTAACTCGGAAAGAAGCTGCTAAGGATCCCATCGCTTACAAATCTACAGTACAATGGTATATTTTTTGCGACACCCATCTGCATATGTTGGTGGGAATCATATCGTCTTTACTGATACCGATTAGGCATATATGGATGTAAGGGAATGTTTTGCTTTTATTGAAAGAACTGTTCATGAAAAGGTTCCAAATCTTTATTGATGCATCCCTAATATGCCATTATCTATAGACATTCATTCCATAGAAGATAATTTGGACTATGCATAGTTTATAGATACCTAGTATGAATATCAGGAAATTTTAGTTTATGTTGCTCATATTGGGAATGGTATGGAGGAATGGTGTGATGATGAAATGAATCTAGTTGTTAGTGAAGATGAAAGTGGCCTTGAAGATGAAGGTGTAACTACAAATAAAGGAGCCCTCCCAATGAAAGCGTCCCTACTACTGGAAGTAAAACTCCCACTAAAGATCTTAAAGACGAAGTTATCAAAAATGACAAAATAGCTTTGAACAAGACCATTGGTAATGAGTTTTTTAAGTAAGATATGTCCTCCTGGATGAGATAGTGGCGCTTGTGATGAAGTTGAAAATGAAGGTATAGAAATCCATTTCATTTTCAATCCGGACATGCACTAGGAGAGGCAACTACATGTTTTTGGGGTGAGATTTGAAAGTCCAAAGCAGCTAAAAAGTATGTTATGCAATTATGTTGTTTTTGGATTTGGTGTCTAAGTCCATAACTATAACTGATATGTACCCGAGAGTAGCATGGTCCATTTGGGTTGCCTTCACCGGAACAATCTGATAGGATGAATATTTGAGAAAGAGGTTATTTATGATTTATTAATATATTATAAATATAATATATTAAAAGAGAAATCATATTATTTAATTAGTAATGATCAATAATTAATTTGGAATTAATTTAGTGATCAAAAAAGACTAATTAAATTAATGTGGACTGATTATGTAAATCAGTGATATATATATATATATATATATATATATATATATATATATATGTATATATATATATATATATATATATATATATATATATATATATATATATATATGGGCTATTAATCCATGTTGGGATAAGTTTTATGTAAGTATCCATGAAGAATTAGCCCACATGAGATATGGATCATAACCCAAGTGTCTGTATTAGGGTTTACCCATGACTCTTGGAATCCTACACTATATAAATGATACCCCTTAGCTAAAATCGGTTACATAAGTGTTTTTGGAGTTCACATAACTGATTTTGGTGTGCCTAATCTCTCTCTCTCAAAGTCCTCCTTTGTTCATGGTGTTTGTGAACCATTGAGGCATCATACTTGAGGTGCTAAGCTCTTGAAAGGCCAAGGACTACAACTACATCAAGAGGTATTCATCTAACTATAAGTTTTATATTGTATATCCTCTATTGTATGCTAGTTAGGATGTGTGCTTGGGAAAAATGAAATTGCATGTATAATTAGGAAAACCACAGATCCAAAGCATCTAGGGTTGCATGTGCACTGTAGGGGTGGGGGGGGGGGGGTGGGGCGTGTTATAGTGCTTAAAACCCAACAGTGGTATCAGAGACTAGGATTGTTTTCTGGTATATTTGATGCTTGTTAATTTTCAAAGTTGAAAAAATCGATTTTCTAACTGATGAACTCACTGAGTCCATGAAATGACTCGCCGATTCCACTCAGTAAAAGGGCAACTTGACGAGTCATGATCATGCACTCATTGAGTAGATGCTTCCGGTTGCAGAATTTCGAGTTTTTGGCCAGAATTGGTTTAGGATCAATATTACAAACTATTTTGTAATCATAAAAAATGTATTTTCTGATTTAGTGATGATGATCCTCATCCAATTAAAGGACAATTGTCAAATTTTAAGATAATAAGATATTATTTGTATTATTTGATATGAGTTGCCTTGCTTTAAGTTAGGTTAGATCAATTATGAATTATATGATAATTTTATTTGTTGGAATTGATCTAAATTTTTTTAATGAATTCCATAACTTGTCTTCAAGTTATGGAACATGAAAAGTCTCATCCATTAAAATTACATTAACTCATAAGTTATGGAGTTCAAGAGTCTTGGAGAGTTACAAATTTTCCATCAAAGTTTTGGAACTCAACCGTTTTTAGGAGTTACAAAAATGTGTCATCAAATTTCTAACCCAAAGGTTTTCCAAGAGTTACAAAATTTGCCCTCAAGTTTTGGTATTTGAAAAGTCTCAAATTATGTAATATTAAACATCAAGTAATTGAAAGGTTTCAAAAGATGCATCTGTTAAGTTCATAACTTAAATAATTAATTAAATAGTTTCAATTTTGAATTTTAATAACCAAGATGAATAGTTCAATTACACCTTATCGACTTTATAAAATTAATTAAAGTGTTTAATTAAAAGAGAAGTTTAATAAATCCATAATAATATTGTTTAAGATTAATTAAATTAAAAGTTTAATTTATTAATAGCTTAAACCACCAAGTATTTTAAATGTTTAAAATACACCCTTATACTATAGAAAATTAGAAGTTTAATATATGATATATGTATAAGTTAAAATTCAGTCATACCGTTAGTTGGCCTCATTCACAAAGCCGGTCTATAAAGGGGGTATAAGGTTACTGCCTATAAAATGGTGGTTTAATGGGTGTCCACTCTCACCCACCGCTTCCTTGACTGGTGGAGGGTCGTTAGCTGAAGGGTAGGATAGGACAATAATTCTCATTAAAATTATAATGAAAATACCAAGTAACCAAACACTTATAGATTCTCAATCTTAGTTACTTAGGAAAAATATGAATTTGATGCTAACCCAGAAATTGGACATTGCACCTTATTAGTCGTTAGTGGAGCGTGTGTGATTAACCAACACACTAATCTGGGACTAATGAAGGATGGCAATGGGTAGCTCGATGTTAATCATAGATCATTGGAGTGTGTGTGGTTAATAGGCACATTGATCAGATGATTTGTAACATTACGTGTACCAAACTAATTTGCATGGTTATTCACACCTTTTTTTGTGATCCTCAGCATCCCAGTCAAAAAACTTGAAGGGCATAATCAAGATTAAAACATATCATTGAAAAGTTAAATGAATCTCAAAAGATCTAGGAATTTCAATTCATTTAAAATCTAAAATTCATTTTTCATTTTTCATGGTGGAAATTGGTAAATCATCATTTACCTACCTTCAAATATTTTACAACTGGATTACGGAATCCCTCTTCTGAATTGTAAATATTTTGTTGGGTCCTGGCCTTAATATTTCATTTGGGTGTCATATTAAGGACTTAAATCAACTAACTTGAATTTCTCCCATTGTAGAAGTCGACTTCTGACAACTATGGTCTTCCCGAATCTTATGGAAAAAGCTTTCCACATGAAGATGATGTTCCCAGAAATCATACTTCACTTCCTCCACCTCCTCCAATAATTCTCCCTAACCCACAAGTTCAAGAACTTGAAAATTTCAAGGTCACTCAAGCCCTACTTGCAATGAAACATCAAGATGGAAGGTCTGTGTGTACTCACGTCTTGGAGATGAAGTCACAAATTGTCAGGGTGAAAATGTTAGGAGTCGTTGTGTCAAGGAAGTTGGTTGTTGACTTGGTTCTTTAATCACTTCCTAGGTCAAATGGTGAGTTCATTAAAGATTACTATATGACAAACCGCAATATGTCCCTTTCGATCATACCTATTTGCTAATTGTTACTGAATCGACAATGATTTGGTGCACTGGTAATGCAAATTTGATTGGAAGATCTACTTCCCAAACCTCCATGGATATTGAAAATGGAAACATTAGAAGTCTAGAAAAGATTTCTCATTCCAAGGGAAAGGGAAAGGCTAAGTCTGTGATTGTCCCGTGTACCATTCCAAAAGAGTATGTTTGTTTCTATTGCCAAGAAAATGGACATTGGAAGCGAAGCTGCCCAGACTACCTGTGAGATCTAAGAGATGACAGAATCAAATTGTATGGTTCTACTTTAGGTAAGCTCATTATCTAAATCTATTAAGTTCCTATTTAAAGATCCTTAAAACATGATGCGATAAGATTACATTGTGATGTTTTTTAGGATCAAAGGAAGCTTAAAGGAATGACATGCTGAGTCTGAC